TGGATCTGTGAGTGACTGATGTGAGTGGTTTAAGTACGGAAGGGTATTTGAGTGTGTCCTTCTGAAAACAGTTTATGTGTCAGGTTGCTAGATGAGTATCTAGACTTTCAAATGGAAAAATCTGGTATCTCCTCAAGTCTGTTCAGGTAGCTGATGTTATGGTTTGGAGCTGACTCCCTGCCAAGTCTCCAAACCTTACCACAAGAAGTCCCCCCTCCCACCCCAAACCAAGGGAGAAGAGGGGGAAAAAAAAACAAAAGAACTGAAAACGAGAGAGAGAGAGAAAGCAATATATATATAAATATATTTACACTTATATTTACAGTTATGTACAGTTGAAATATATATACAATTTCACAGGGAAAAGGGAAAGGGGAAGGGAAGAACAAAAACCAAAATAATATATATATATATTATTCCGATCAGTAGCCCAAGGTCTATCAACTAAAAGAATTAGCAAAGAATATCTTACTACTCTCCTTGGGACAACGGAGAGTCCCGCTGGAGCGACTGCCGGCAGCCTCCGCCTGCCAAGGTCGACAAGGCCTTACCAGGCCTCACTCCCCAACCCGACAGACTCAACAGCAGGGAAACCTGCACCTCCAAAGGCGCCGGAAGGAAAGAGAGCGAAGGTCTTTCCTCCCTTCTTTTTATACCCCAGTTTACGTAAATCGTAGGGAATACCAGGTAAATCTGGGCACTTCCTTGGTTACAAGCTGGTCACCAAGGAAGGCCTAGGCCAAACTACCACAAACTAGAGCTATCTGAACTACAATCAGCCCATCTTATTTTATCGTTCCACTGTCAATTTCTGAAGACAATCATCTGCAGCTTCGTCCTTGTGGATTAAACTGGTGGATTTATTTTTTATTCAGATGGGGAATAAGGAAGACCTGAATTTGGGAAACATCACAAGAGTAACTCACTTCATCCTGCTGAGTTTCACTCATCTTGCCCAACTTCAGCTCTTACTCTTCGTGGTAGTTCTCTTGGTCTTCACAGTCACTATGACAGGAAACATGTTCATTGTCCTCATTGCAACTGTGGACCCTGCTCTTCATACACCCATGTACTATTTTCTTAAGAATTTGTCTCTGATTGAGATCTACTACAGCTTAGATATTGTGCCAAAAATGCTGATAAATTTGTTGTCAGAAAGGAAGACCTATTCCTTCACAGCTTGTGCTTTGCAATTGAGCTTAATCATACTCTTTATCACGTCTGAATGTTTTCTGTTAATGATCATGGCTTATGACCGATATGTAGCAATTTGTCACCCCCTACACTATGCTGTCATCATGTCCAAAAAGATGTGTAGGCAGATGTCAGCAGTAGCTTGGCTTTCTGGATTCCCTGTAGCGGTTGGGATCACGGCTTGGCTGTTCAGCATGTCTTTCTGCAAGTCAAATGAAGTCAACCATTTCTTCTGTGACATCTCACCTGTACTGAAATTGGTGTGCTCAGATACCTACATTTTTGAGCTTCTGGTGTTCATTGCCACTGTGCTGATCATGGTGCTGCCATTCATCCTAATCACCATCTCCTACATCTGCATCATCTATACCATTATGCAGATGCCCTTGGCTGAAAGCAGGCAAAGGGTGTTCTCCACACGTGCTGCTCATCTCACAGTTGTTACTCTCTTCTGCTGCACAACCTGCTTAATTCATTTACATCCCAAGTCAAGCCTCTCACCAAACAACAAAAAGTTTGTGTCTCTTTCCTACACAGTCATTACACCGATGCTCAATCCCATCATCTACAGCCTCAGGAACAGTGACGTAAGGGAAGCACTACAGAGAACTTTTGGCAGAAAAATGTTATTAGAAAGACTCACAACACTATCATTATCATTTTTCTGATAGAAATTTCAGAAGTTTCAGACAATCTGTAAAGGTAAACACAATTAATATTGTCTCAAATTAAATGACAGCTGAATAAATACCTCAAATCTTGCAAAAGTCTGTCTACCTGCAGAAGTCTACTATGTTTTTATTTATTTTATTTATATTTATTTTATTTATTCATCCCTTTATAAACTTTCAGATTTCCCAGGTTTTAACAAACAAACAAAAAAATTCCACTATTATTTCCTTTGTAATATTTTCACCGCTGTAAAATAAAAAGGAAGGAAAGAAAAAAAATCCTATACATCCTGTTTTGGGATTCTTATCTTCTTTTCTTTCCCATCATTTAAAGAAGTTAGCTGGGATAAGACACCTCCACTAGATCAACTCCTACTGAATTTTAACTGCCTAAAATTTGACCTTCAAGTCTAAGTCAATCAAAGGATGATCCCTTTATGGATAATGGGAAGAATCAGTCACTTCTGGGGGGCAATCCTGCTGTGAGTTACCTGTCAAAGAGACACAGAGCAATCATTCTTGAGGAGTATCTATTCCTTGGCATTGGTTTAAGAAAGAAGAATAACCCAGCCATCCAAGGTGTTCATTTCTGGTTACAATATCCACCCTGAGTGACTGGGTCACATTTCATCTAACAGATGAAATTCAGTAAGTCGCATATTTTTGTTTTCTTATTTCTTTGTCAATGGGAAAGCAATGAGAAACGCAGTTCTATACTAAAGAACATGCAGACCAACTTTAAGGTAAAGACGTAATACAATATGCATACATATATAAGGAGGGACTATATATGTATATAGAGAGGAACTAGATATGAATATAGATTTATACACGTATTTATTTTTACATACTGGTGTATATCTTGGTATATATACATATATGAAAACGTATTATAAATTAAGTTTGGCTAGATACATTTTCCTGAAAGCATGCAGCCTAGAGACTTCTTGGGCACCACAATACAAGAAAGATCTAAATCTATTAGAGAGCATCCAATGGAGGGCTATGAAGATGGTGAAGGGTCCAGAGAGGAAGCCAAATGTGGAGAGGCTGAGGGCGTTTGGTTTGTTCAACTGGAGGAGAGGAGACTGAGGTCAGACCTCACCAGGGTCTGCAGCTTCCTCATGACGGGCAGCTGTGCTCTCTGTGACCAGTTACAGGACCCAAGGGGATGTCTGGAGCAGTGTCGGGGGAGGGTTAGGTTGCATATTAGGAAGTGGCTTCCCTGGGCAGTGGTCATGGTCCCAAGGCTGCGAGAGCTCAAGGAGCTTTTGGACAACACTCTCAGGCACAGGGTGGGATTGTTGGAGTGTCCTGTGCAGGGCCAGGAGTTGGACTCAATGATCCTTGTGGCTCCCTTCCAACTCAGGATATTCTGTGATTTTATGACCATTGACTGGTCCAAATGCCAAGTGCTGCAGCTGTCCTGCATCCACACCCCTCAGAGCAACCACTCTCTCCAGAGGACTATACAAATCTCTAATATATAGCTCTTGGACAGGTTTCATTTCTTTGCATATTTTTACAGTATAAATTGCAAGATATACCATGAGAGCAGTGTGGTATTCAGTGAGATTATTTGTGGTATTCAGTCATGGTAGTATTTTAATATTGTGATATGAAAAGTTAGTTCACGAAGCCTAGCCATGATGAATTGCAAACATTGCTATAGACATGGGAAGATGTGTTGTAGAGGAGGAGCCATGGGGTGATAGACTGTGACATTTTGTGTTATAGTGTGTGATAAAGCTCCTGTGATCACCTACAAAGCAGCTGAAAGAGACAGTTGCAGGAAGGGAGCCCAAATATCCTGCTGGGCTGGATCTGGGCCCATCATAGGGGCCATCAAACCAATAAAGCCCAGAGGAGCACAGATACAAACCATGTCAGTGGGAACCCAAATCAAGGACTCTTGAGGAAGGAGTGCTATGTCCCAGCAAAGCCATCAGCCCCAGTGTCCAGGCATGGCACCCATCAACTTCCCGGATCACCTCTGGGACTTCAGGGGTGCTGCTACCTAGGGCTGGGACACATTATGATGCAGAGGAAAAGCAGTTTGAAATCATACAGGACTTCTTAAGGCATACTTAGGGGAGGAAAAAAAGGCAGAAAAATGGTGGGGTCTAGGTGATTTGGGGGGGAACAATGTTGGAAAAATAGAGGGGGAAGGGGATAAAAACTAGCTTGTCATGTAAATAGTTGACTTTTCTGGCCACATCCTGCCCTGATCAGCACAGTCTATCCTGTCTTCTTCAAAAAGTCCTTACTGACTCTCTACTGGGTGAGAGCTCCCTACTCAGTGTGCACATGTGTTTATGAGGATGTGAGTGTGGCACCCAGAGCCAGATCATGGCTCAGAAGGTCTGCGTGTCCCTGGGGTAGCGAACGGAGTGAGTGCAGGTGTGCGAGTGTGTAACAGCTATGGAGAATCAACCAGATGAGCTGGCTAAAGTTGATTTAAGGCTGAACGCACCACCTATGACGTGTGTTAAAAACAACTAAAAAGTTGGGATAAATAAATAATTGTGATTCGAGAAACAAATGGGTGATTACATCAAAATAAAACAAACGGATTGTAAAACTTAATTACGCCCCCATGAAGAAATAAAAGAGACCCTTACGAGGTCAAGAGGCCCTAAAACCTCCTTACTGTCCTAAGAATAAAATATAGTAGAGCTTTAAATCTTTAGGCGCCTGTTCGTCCAAGAACGCATGAATTATGACCGGTTGTAGAGATAACCCATTTAGCTTGAGCTGGAAGAAAACCCATAGAATAAATACTTAGCAAAAACCTGTAGAATGTATATGTACGTGATATAATTAGTATGCATGAAGTAGCAAAGAGAAATACTCAATGGACCCTGTAGTAGGTGTGCAGATTTGGGAAACTGGTCCCCATTTCTGTCACCCAGCCGGCTGCTTGCTTTTTCCATATAATAAACTATTATTCAAAAACTTCTAGAAACTCCAGACTTGGTTTATCACAAAGTTAATTAGGAACACTAAAAAAATTAGAAAAGTGTTATCAGTTCCAACAAGCCCAAAACAACATAGGCCAAGTGCTGCAGGAACAAAACCGTCTCTATCCATTGATGCCAGGAAAAGGCAACAGTAGTAAAACTCCACAGCCACAGGTGCTATTAAGCTGGTATTTGTTTATTTCGGCGCCGGACGTGCAGGGGATAGCTCCGCCTAACGCGCGCACCCTCACCTATCACAGCTTCCGTTTTATGCAATTAGGTCATACAGATTCATTGCACATTTTTCCATCTTCGTGAACTACCCGAGAGTGGGCAGTGTTCGATGTCAATCTCGGGACACGCCTCCTGGAGCCTGCGCACTTCTCTCTGCTGGTTGTCTCGGGTGGTCGTAAGGGATGAAGGCTCAAAGTCTTCCTCTCTCTGAACTTCTCACCTCGCTCTCGGAGCAAGCGCAGTCCCTCCGAATCTTCCCATGGCAACAGCTCCTCATGGGCTGCCCGTCCCCTCGGTGTCCCCTTGGCTGTCTGTTGGTTACACTTTGCAGCACCGCACGCTCTCCCATCGGCTGCCCCTTCGCACCATCACGCAGCTTTCCCGTTGGCTGCCTCTGGGCAAACTCCCCATCGGCTGCTCACCGCCAACACGGCTGCTCTCTTAGCAACAGCACACGAACCTTAACATTTTGCTGATTAAACTGCGCAGCTTAACATTTTCCCTTATCAATAGCAGCGTAACATTTTCTCAATAGCAACTTCACGTTTTCCCTTATCACCATCCAGAGTGGGAGTCTGGCTAAAGGTGCGGCTGATCGAAACCTAACCAACCCTAGAGGCAGGAGTAAATGTGAAGCTGCTAAAAAGCCATCCAGGAACGTTTTCAGAGCTTGAGGACAAGACAGCAGCTGGGTGGGGGCCAGCGGCCAGCCAAGGTCCTCCCAGCGCAGCCTCTGAAGGGTTCCTTTGGCAGTCCCAGTTCAGGGTCAGCCCATGGCTGTACCCTGGGGGCAGATGAAATTAATTGGCAATGAACCTATAAGAGTCCAGGTGCTTTGCTATGAGTCTCACAGATGGAAGTGGAAGTGAAACCCTCAGCGTCTTGTGTGCCAGAAAAGCTGTGACCTGGCTTAGTTACAGCCCTGAGCAGGCTTTTACTCATCAGGCTGTGTGGCTCAGGGAAGGTGTGGGAGCTCTGTCAGAGGATGACTAGCCCTTTGCCACCAGCACGGGGGGAGGTCCAGTGGCTTCCACCTGGCGGAGGTGCCATGTGGGTTCCTGTGCCCAAGAACCATGTAGTTCCATGTGGTTCCATGTGGTTCCATTGTGACCCCATGTCACAAAGGGGCAGAGGTGTGGCACCCATCCGGTGATTATGACCTCGCCTGCCCAACACTTGGTATCCTGAGGAGCGCGCCAACGAAAATCAGTTGGACAGAGTTGGCCTTCGAGATAACTCAGCTCCTTCCTTTGCTACTTGTGTGACTGCCTTTTTTGGACAGTTTCTTGTTTACTGACCATTTCTCCTCAACTTTCATCCTCTTTCAAAGGTAATGCTTTGGCTTTTGGCACAGATCATAGAGCAGGGTATAGGGGATAAAAGTATAGGCTGATTGATACCTTCCTAGCTGTAGGCTGAGCTGTAACAACTTTTAGAGGCTGGCCAGGTATGACCTAGGCTAGAATTCCAGTTTGCTGATTCTTGGTTTTTTGCCATAGCCTAGGATAGGTAAGCAGGGAGGTGACTGTAGTCTGAGGGGATGGGCTCAGCCCACCTTGACTGCCGTGGGAGGGAGGGAGACAGAAAAAGGAGAGCAGCAAAGGCAGCAGTTCAAGTAGTGGCTGAAAGATGGTCACTCCTAGGAGGTGGGAAAGCCAGAGGGCTCTGTTGCTGAAGCAGTGACAGGAGAGCAGCAGGGCCTCTTCGGAGAAGGTAACATACATTGGAGCATTTCAAAAGGGCCTTTGAACCTGCTGTGACTTGGTGCCCTGTGACTGAGCATAAGGGCACGTGCTGCAGCTCAGCAGCAGTTACAAGCACCACTGAAAGACTTGGTGGTGGATGCCGTTCTGCGTTTATTTGGAGCTTTTATACTTTCGGTGAGCGACAGTAATTTCTTTGCAATTAGGTGACAGGATTGGTGCTGTTCTCTTTCCGGAGCAAGTCCTGACATCCTTGGTCATCTCAAGCATTGCACTCTCTTCCTGAGAGAGGAAATGGCCACAGCAGGGAATGACTCCTGTGAGTAAGAGCTTCACCAGCAGGTTTGGACTTGGTGAACTGCCACAGACAACTGACATGGCTGGTGGTCAAATCCCAGAATGATGTGCTCACACCCTAGAGTGATCTCTGGGATGTTTCCTGAGAGCAGCCAAACTGACCCCTGCGTTTACAATTAGACCCAGGAAAACACCTTTTGTCACTCCTCTGCCACTAGGTACAAGGCTTTGAAAGCTGCCATTGCTCGTAGAGAGGTCTGACATCCTTTGGGTTACCTTCTGTGCTCAGTATTGACTTGTTTTCAACAAGTTACAATCATGAAAAGGGATGGCTTCACTGATAATCCAGTCTACAACTCTACCGAGAAAGGAAGGTAGCCTGAGGCCCAGAAATCAGATGGTGGCTTTGTTGGACTCTCAGCAAAGTAAACAGGGGAACGGATTTTTCCAAAACAGTACATTTCAATGGCAGTGTTTAAGCTTCCCCTGATGGTGTTGGGTTGGAAGTTAGAGCAGATGGTCCCGAGTGCTCCTGTAGAGACCTCACTGTTTAAATATGCCTTTGTGCCTCATTTTGTCTCTTTTCAAATGGAATTTCCCTGCAGTCATTGCCGAGGGAATGACTCCGCCACAAAGGATCCTCTTTCCCCCGGAGAAGATTTGCATGGTCTGGCAGCAAAGACAGAGTGCTGGAGCAGGACTCCGCAATGTGGGCAACACGTGCTTCCTCAATGCTGTCCTGCAATGCCTGACATACACCCCGCCGCTGGCCAACTATCTGCTCTCCCGGGAGCACAGCCGGGCCTGTGAGTACTTTTAGGGACCTCTCCTTATCAATCTGGTAATCAAATCCCAAGGATTCCCAGAACCTGAAATTTGATTGAGGAGAACAGCAGCCCTTTGTCAGCCCCATGAACTTGTGTTCTTTGTACACTCAGGAGCCACCTGTCCTATCCAGCTGTCTTATTCTTCATGAAGGCACATCTTTCTAGCTCTGGCTCTCTATTCCTGCAAGTTAAAACCTCAGTTTAGCATTCCTCTGAAGAACATTTTCTAGGCACTACAATGTCCCGTGCTTGTTGAAACCCTGGGAGGAGTGGCGTATTGCACTGGAGCGGGAGTGGAAGAAGAGGAGTATTCCACCACTACGGATAGTTTGCTAACCGGAGGACCTTCTCTCCCTCCCTCCTCAGGTCGCCAACAAGGCTTCTGCATGATGTGCGTCATGGAAGCGCACGTTAACAAGGTCCTGCATTCCTCAGTCGGTGCCATCCTGCCTTTGGCTGTTCTCAGGGGTTTCAGATGTAGGTCATTTCAGGTTCTTTGACAGGTTTTCTTCCCTTCCTGTATGAGACTACTACTAACTTCCTGTTTCTTAGTCATAGGAGAACATTTTCAGCTTGGCAGGGAGGAAGATGCCCATGACTTCTTCTGCTGTACTCTCAATGCCATGCAGAGAGCTTGTCTGAGTGCAAGCAACGAGTAAGCACAAGCAAGTTACCTTTACAGAGTTCTGAGCCCTTTGGACCCCTTGATGTGGTCTCATCAAGGAAAACCTACAGCCAGGGCTTTCAGGCAAAGCAAAACTCTTGGAGGAAGTAATGCTCTGTCTTACTACTTGTTTCCAGCTTGGACGTATCTTCTCAATCTACTACCATTGTCCATCAAATATTTGGAGGCTTTCTGAGATCCAGAGGTATGTTTCTACAACTATTGCTCTCCTTGTCATTGCCTGGGCCCTTCTGTCTGCCTGTGCTCAACAGCTGGTCCTGGGACTAGCAGGACAGGTACAATGAGCACAAAGCAGTACCATCGTGCAACTCACCATTCCTCGGCATTTTGATTTTTCCTTCCAGTCATCTGCTCCAGCTGCAAAGCCGTTTCTGATTCCTATGAGGCCTTCCTGGATGTCCCTTTGCATATCAAAGTAAGAGGTTTTGCAGTTGTGCTTCAAGACATCGCAAGGCTTTTCAGAGTCAACACATTTGTCCCGAAAGCATATACTGTGAACACAAGAGGTCTTGGTCGTGGATGGCAAGGGGAATGGATGTTGTCCTCCTGCAGAGGCCATGGCACTCGTCTCTCTGGAGGTGCCGGCTTTAAGCTGGACAAGCACCCATTATGCTCTCTGCACCCTTGACATATTCTCATCCTTCTTCCCTTTGCCCTCCTTCAACACCTGGCTGGCTTCCAGGCTGATGGGTTGCATTGTTTTCACTACTGATGACCCTACGTAACATCAGTAGCTGAATGGGAGGCGGTACAGAGAGGGAGGTCTCCATTGCCCCTGAGAACCTCTGGGACAGGGGAAATGTTCAGCACCACACTCTCTTTCTGGCTCCTTCTGGATACAGCTTGCACATTCGTGGTGGGTCTCCTCAGCATCAGCTACAGGGGTTTTCTTATCAGCTCCTGGAAAATGTTTGGGCGAGGGCATTGCCTGCAGCTCAGTGCACTCATTTCTCAATTCTCCAGGCAGCCTCGTCCCTCACTGCAGCTCTGGAGGACTTTGTAACACCTGAGCACCTGGATGGTGAAAACTGCTTTAAATGCAGCAAGTAAGATGATTACTAATAACATATTACCACTAGCCTCTGTGTGAGGGGGCTACAAGTAATCGAGCAGAAGTCGTCTTCTCATGGAAGTTTACTGCACACTAATGAGACACAGTTTTGTTTGTCTGGTTTTGGGGGGGGTTTTTGGTTTGTTTGTTTGTTTGTTTGTTGGTTGGTTGGTTTTTTGTTGTTTTTTGTTTTTAATATGGCACTGAATTGCCTTAAAATAGCATAAGGATGCGCGAGATAAGAAAGGTTGTCTGGCTGCCTTGGTGGAAGACAGGGTGCATTTCAGCACTGTGCTCTGTGCTTGGTTTCAAGGTGTGAGAAGAATGTTGCCGCCACCAAGAGGTTCACTGTCCACTGTGCACCCAAGGTTCTCACAGTGTGTCTGAAAAGGTTTGACTGCTTCACTGGTGGGAAGATCAACAAGGTGTGTACACTCTTGGCGTGCAGCTTTCTCTTCAAGAAGCAGATTTCCTAAAGCAGTGTGCTTGTCACAAGCTGCTTGTGTTGAGTTTTTTGTGGTCCCTTCTGGGGAGTGGAAAGTTCCTGTGGGAAGACAGGCAAGCACTCTGCTCTGATAGGGCTGCTTTGACTGAGAACGGTTTCCTGCCACCCAAACCATTACATGGTACTTTATGGAAAACCAAGTGTTCAGGACCCCCAGAGATGTATTGATCCCCCTGGACTGGCCCCTGCACTTGGTAGGCTATTTCATGTCACAGTCCAGGATCATTTCGGAGCCCTCTCGGTCTCTCCATAGGTTGTAGAGTATCCGGAGTACTTGGATCTTCGCCCATACATGTCTCAGGCGGATGGAGAACCACTCCTCTACTCCTTATATGCTGTCCTGGTGCACAGTGGTGTCAGCTGTCATGGAGGACACTATTTCTGCTACACAAAGGTAAAGAGCAACTTCCTTCCCAATGGGCAAAAATGTGTGCTGGGGAAGAGAAACTTTCCTGTCGGTGTTACTGACAGCCAAAGTTTTGGGGCAGAAGGCCTCCTTAGCGGCTGGGCTACATTTGTTTTGACGTGCTCTTGGTTTGGCAGTTTTCTACCTGTGTTTTTGGAGAGAAACCATGCAGAGATTCTTGCCTTTTTTTTACAGGCCAGCAATGGCTTGTGGTACCGGATGGACGATGAGTCTGTGGAGCTGCATTCCATCGACGCAGTTCTCAGGCAGCAAGCCTACCTGCTCTTCTATGCCAGGTAATAACCAGGATTCAAATCAGAAGACAGAAGACATTTCCTTTTCCTCATTTGCAGTTGTGCTTCTCACCTTCCTGAGTGTTTTTCTCATCCAATGAAATTACTAGCTGCATCATTCAGTGCTGTCAAATCTGAACTACTCCATGTCTGTCCTTTGCTGGGCTTCAGGCTGCGGCCCGGATGTAATCTGCTCCTTGTCTGGTCTCTGATGCTGACTCTTGTAGATAAGAGGACCTAAAGAGGGCCTCCAGAAAAGATGGGGAGGCACCATTTGTCAGGGAATGTAGTGACAGGATGAAGGCTATCAGTTTTCAGCTAACAGAGGGCAGGTTTACATTAGATCTTAGGAAGGAATTCTTTGCTGTAAGGGTGCTGAGACACTGGCACAGGTTGCCATAGCATCTGTGGGTGCCCCCTCCCTGGAAGTGTTCAAGGCCAGGTTGGACAGGGCTTGGAGAAACCTTGGATAGCGGAGGGTGTTCCTGCCCACAACAGTGGGGTGGAACAAGATCAAGTTAAAGGTCCCTTGCAACCCAAACAAATCTGTGAATGTATGAAATGGAGGCCGTAGGAGGTATAGAGATGAGGTTTTTGTTGGGACGGAGGCAAACCTGGTGGGAAGACCCTCGCTGAGTTTCCCACTAGTGTCCTTGGTTAAGTCTCCTCTCTGTCATAGAAACCTCTCTGAGAAAATGACTGAACCCCAGAGGAGGTTGCAACAACAGCCCTAAACTGAGATGACTCTTTTTTTTTCTCCAGATGCTCTGAGCTGAGAACTGGAAAAAGGGCTGCTTCCTCACTGACACCATCACATGCCCCTGCCTTCCTCAGTCAGTGTGTGGCCAGCAGCAAGCAGGCGGCTTCTGTTGGACCCCAGGCTCTGACTGGGAGGACGAAGGTAACTTTGGGGTCGCGGGTCAGGGCATCAGAGGAATAGTGGATTTCTTTCTGGGATCTCAGCATTTCTCTTTTGTCCCTCACACACCGCACCTTTCTTCACAGCCACAACGCTGCTCCCTCTCAAAGCATCCCACCTGGATCCATCCCTTTTGTGCACCTCTGGCCTTTTGGTCTTAGTAGCCCTCCAAAAGAGCCTTTTGGAGGCCCCAAACTGTCCTATCCCAGAACTTGCAGGGCTTCCCCACTGCTCTGATCCTTTCAGGAGAAAAGGGCAGGAACTCTCCACAGCTCTCTTTGCAGGGCATGAAGTACAGCGGCAGGGAGCGGTCCCGCAGCAGATCCCCTCTGTGGGGCAGAGATCTCCGCAGCTGGTCTGTGGAGACCACGGACTACGACGACTCTTGGGAGAGAAGAACTGGTCCTCAGGGTCGTGACCGTGGTCCCAGGGCTAGTGCAGCTGCAAGGCCCTCCAGGAGGATCTGCCAGTGGGCTCCTGCTCCCGGGGCTGCTCAGCAGCAAACCTTGCAGAGGCAGAGGGAGCCAAGCAGATCTGTGCAGGGCACTTCCAACCTTGGCAGCCGGTTTGTGCAGTACACAGACTATGACCGGTCACTGAGGAAGAGAAAGAGGGAGAGA